TATTTAAAATCTTAGGCGCCCTAAATTTTCAGTCATTGACTTTAATGGATAATTTCAGGTTGTGTACGAACACAAAGTCCTTAGGTCCCAAGAAAAAGTTTTTTTTTATTTTTTAGTCTATTTTAGTTGAGAGAGGGTAATAGCCACAAATAAGTAGCCTCCTCGTCTGTAGTGGCCTTCTCGGCCTTGAGGAGATGAATTAAAATAAAAAAATAAAAAAATAAAAAAATTTCAACAATATTGCTTTTTAAATATTTCTTAAAATACATTATTTATAAAATACATTACTTTTTTAGTCCATTTAAAAAATGTTGTTTTTAAAAAGTTTTTTCAATGTTTTTTTAACTATGTCTTTTATTTACACTTAACTCAAACTTCATCCTTGGATATCTTTCATCATTTGCAGCCAAAAATCTCAGGAAGCATCAAAGAAAAAAAAAAGCCTAAATGTAATTTAAAGCCTATAGTACTTGAAAAAGATGCTAGTATCACAATCACAAGAAATTTTTTGTAAAGAAGTGACACTTGCAGGTTCTTATCTATTGACCCATCCACTTAGTCGGAACGGCTGGCTGTAAGAGAGAAAAACTGCATTATCAAAATGAGTTCAATACATTTCCTGAAGAGTAATAAAGAATATCTTAAAACCAAAAAACGCCATTTCTCAAATGAATTTCACAATACAGGGTAGCAAGAAATGATAAAAAAGTGATGAGGAGAGACTTATATACTCTCTAAAAACTGATTTAGCTTATATCTTCCTCGTCATCTGTTTGACCCAAGAACCGTTCGTAATTTACAATCTCAATAAATCATAATCAAATATAGTTGTATATCTCTATAAAAGTTGTATATCTATAAAAAGTTGACAGCATAAATACATCAAATAATACATCAAATTTTTAAGCGTTTAAAATTATAAAAATATATTATCCAGAGACAAAATAATTTCTTTAAGTTTATCTTTAAATGAGAGGTAACTCCATTCCAGAGAAAAATCAAAATGTTTTAAAACTATTTTATTTCAAAGAAAAGCTCCGCAAAATGCAATGTTTTTTTTTTTCAAAATTAGTTTGATAAAAAGGTTGCCGAACCAAAAAGTTTGATAAAAAGGTTGCTAAAATTAGTTTAATAAAAAGGTTGCCAAACAGGTTCGAAACGAGCTTTGGGCATATTTCGCGTCACGGTATGGAAGGAAGCGTGAACTTCCTGGTTAAATGCACTACCGTGGTGCTCTGTGACAAGACCGTTAGGTCTTCTTGGGACACCTAAATAACAAAATAAAAAAAATTAAAAAAAAATAAAAACTAATTTATCATTTCTCAAATTGTATTTATTTTTATTTTTCAAGATATATAAATTATGAAAAGAAACTGGTGTTGTGAGCAGAAACAGAAGACAACCAACAAAACACTATCACCATTAGAAGCACATAATGTAATCAAATACACCAACAGAAAAAACCTTTTTACTAATATGTAAATAGCGAAAAGTGTATGTACGCCGATGACGCAAATAAGCTTGACGTTGCTTGCGATACTCTCCATTAAAAACAAGGAGGTGAAAAACTTAAACTCGGAAAAATTATTAAACAGTTTTCCTTTGGAAAATCTCAAAGAATACTGTTATAAATTTACCTATTTGTCAATTTTTATTTAGAAATTACATTGTTTAAACTATTTGATTTCCTTAACTTATCACAATTCTTGAATCAAATATATATATATTAGGGCTGTACCGGATTTAATTTTTCCAAATCCGGCCGAAGCCGGATTTGCCGGATTTCTACTAACAAATCCGGACGGATTCGGAGCCGGAGCCGGATTTCAAAACAAAATTGCTGGAGCCAAAATCCTGTACATCTCTATTTGGTGTTGAGAATAGTCAACAATGAGGACTATTCAGAATACCAAGTGACAGCTGTTTTCTGTTAAACTTCATTGTTGTTATTAAAAAAGTTTTATTTCAATTTCTATAGAAATTAATAGACATTCTTTAGAAATTCTATAGGCCATTTGTTTCAAAAGTTTATTGAAATTCTATTGAACTTTTTTTACGGGATGTTGTCATTCCACCTTTGTAGTGGGGCACTGTGTCTATTTATTTGTGGTTCTTTCAGATATTGGCTTAGCTGAGTGTCAATGCCTTTTAGTAATTGTTGTTCATGTGCTGTGCTACCAGCGGACGTAGACTGAATAATTTTATCAATAAATTGCCAGAGTAATGATGATGATGTAGAAAAATTATCCAGCCTGGTTTATTTTGCTAGATTTTCTTCAGTTTTGTCTATTTTCTGCTCAACATGCTCAGATTGACTTCAATGTTGCTTTTTCAGCTGTCAGTGTCATGCTTTTAAAATGCTCATCCAATGACTTGATTAGGATTGACATCATAGTCTTTACACCTGCATTATTGTAGAATATCGTGTGTCTTTCCTTCAAAATTTTTTGCTTCGTTGTTGTTTGAAATTAGGCTAAGCTTATTAAATTGTAAAGAAATATAAATACAGATACCAAAACAAACATGAAATTCATAAAATATTGAACTACAAAAAAAAAATTGATTTGTATATTAAGTATACATGTAAACACGGGCAAAAAAAATGTAAAAAATATTTGACCAAAATTCAAAACTCCGAAGCGGGTATTCTAAATAATTTTTTAGAATACCCGCTTTATTTATTTTTATTTTTTTATTTATTTGAATTTTTATGCTATATTTTTCTATGTAATTTTTTATCCGAAGATATTGTTGGCTTAGCATAGGAACAGCCATAAATAGTCATTAAGACTAATCCAAAATAGCACCCTTTATTGACCAACATTTTTGCATACTGAAGTATTACTTAAGCGCTGAGTTGGCGGTGGCAGGATTTGAACCCGTATTGAGCAGCAGTCCGGGTTTTAATTTTTCCTTTGACGCTCTAACCAACTGAGCTATCCAGCCACTTTAAATGTGTTGATTTATTATAATCGGTGTAAAAAGTTTAAAAAACATTTGGAATTAGAATCAAAAATATGTGGACTAATAAACTTGCCATGACCCTTTATTATACGGATCATCGTAAGTCTATTTCACACCAACCCTTTCTATACTTATTCTTTATATAGTCGTTTTATTTCACACCAACCCTTTCTATACTCATTCTTTATATAGTCGTTTTATTTCACACCAACCCTTTCTATACCTATTCTCTATATAGTCGTTTTATTTCACACCAACCCTTTCTATACTTATTCTTTATATAGTCGTTTTATTTCACACCAACCCTTTCTATACTTATTCTTTATATCGTTTTATTTCACACCAACCCTTTCTATACTTATTCTTTATATAGTCGTTTTATTTCACACCAACCCTTTCTATACTTATTCTTTATATCGTTTTATTTCACACCAACCCTTTCTATACTTATTCTTTATATCGTTTTATTTCACACCAACCCTTTCTATACTTATTCTTTATATAGTTGTTTTATTTCAATAATTTTTAGTAAGTGGTAGAAAATAAAAATCTGTCAAATCTTTGTTTTTTTAGTTAACGATTAATGTTTAATACATTATAACTTCTCATTGTAAAATAGTAAATTTTTATTAAAAAAATAGGGTACAGACTTATGATTTGTTTTCTTTATTAAGTATTCATATAGTTTTTATTAAATTTTTTTTCAAGATTTTTTTCCACAGCTTTTTAGGACCCGCGTCCCGTTAATTAATTTTAATGAAAAAAAAAGTTTGTATGTAAAATCTTATTCTTATATGAAAAAAAGTTGTCTCTGTGTGATAAACACGCAGACTTAACTAAGAACATTAATAAATTAAGTATCTCTATTGTAACATATACGCAAAACATTTTTACCGCTGTTTACCCAGTGGGCTTAGGACCAAAATAAGATATTTATTGAACGTTCAAAAGACGTCTTTAATGTTTAAAAGACGTCCTTTTTACGTCTCGTGTCCATTGGATTGATGTTTTTTAAAAACTCTCTCCCTTTTGTTTGTTATAGTATGTAATATTTTTATATATGTTATGTATATAATTACAACATAGTATATTTAAAAATATTATATACTATAACAATCATATTATAAAACATTAATAAACTTTTTTTGTGTTTTAGAAAATTGGAAAAGATTTGAAATAAAAATTAATGTGCAAGTGGCAAGATTTGAACCCTTGCGTTGTACTTCGGAAGCGCTACAAAAACCTTATGAAAGTAAAAATATCTAAACCCAGCAGGCACAGACGTCCCTGGGACGTCTATGCGACGTCTTATGGACATCGCAAGTCCGCAGGACGTCCTTAAAAAGAGCTGTTATAGGCAATACTGTCAAGAACAAACAAATCCTCTGATACTGCTACAACCAAAAAACCTAAAAATTTCGACAATTGGATTTACTTAAAAAAAGAACCTTTTTTAAACTTTGTTGCGACATTTTTTTTTAACTAAAAAATTAAAAACGGCGAAATAAAGTTAAAATTTTATTATTTAAAATACAAAATGATATTTTAATCTTTGCAATAAAAAATTCTGAAACCGCGATTAAACTTTTAAAATAATATTTCGATGATATAACTTTTTTTAGATCTTATAAAATTATTCTTATAAAATTTTAAATACAATTAATAAAACGTCATATTTATCAAATTATCTACAAAATTTACTAACAAAATATTTTTTTATCAACTAAAAGTATAATTCAAGTTATTTTGAAAGTTTTACAGTATTTTTATACAGAAAAAGAGATTTCTATACAGAAAAAGAAAAATAACATCAAATACAATTTAGGACATTTTTAACCTAAAACTTTAAAAATATTTTGTGATTTAATTTCATCGAATTAAGTAAAATGTTTTTTTGCTTTGTTTACAGTAGAATATCTTTTATAAGGATTGATACAAATAAGTTCTGCTCATGTTTTATAAATTTAGTCTAAAAATAAATTCGCATAAAAGGAATAATATAGTAGGTTAAAATTTTATAAATATATAAAATGAACTTTTAACTTCAAATATTTATATTTAAACATATTTTGCAGAGGAAAAAATCTGAAAGGCCCTGCTAATACCATTGATGTTTTAGAAAATACCAGATAGCTAATCCCATCAATGTTTTAGAAAGTACCAGATAATTAATCCCACCAATGTTTGAGAAAATACCAGATAATTAAGTATACTGTACCAACAAGTAAGAAGCAGATGACACTCAAACAAATAAGTTATTATTCAGTAATGGTTTTTAGCGTTTTAATTTACTTCTGACCTACGGCTGTTCTCCCGAAGCTAATCTGCGATTGATGTCATCAATAACAACTGGCAAGTCGTTTATTGTATCAATTACATAATGAGCACCGGCATTAGAAAGTATTTCATATGATTTTTTTAAAAGTCTTTCATAATCTTCTTTGCTCAATTCATTAATTTCTTTTTGATTCAATGCCACATAGTTTCCCTTTAATAAAACAGTTTTAAACTATAAACTTTATAAAAGATTCAAAATAAAAAAAAATAAAAAATACTGTTATAAGATATGTTTCATAAATAAATATTATATCTAAATTTATCAAAATTAAACATAATATATAAAACAATATGTATACCGTTCTTGCAAGACCTACACTCCAACAACCAGCTAAAACTCCCTCTCGAACGCCGTCTGCCGTATCATCCACTTTGACCACTGCTTGAATAGGACTTACATCCATGCGTATACAGTTCATCCACACCATGTAAGGAAATGGACGAGCTTGAGGTACTTCATCCGCTGCTACAATAGCGTCCGGATTATAACCAGCTTTTGAAGCGTATTCTTTTAAAACATCGACCATAGCCATTGTAAAACCAGTTGAGGAACCAACTTTTAGTTTCATACTTTTTTGCATGTATTTAACGGTATCTACTGCTCCATCTATCATTTCTGCATAATTTCCAAGACAAGCAAGCTAATTGTATCATAAAAAATTATTTATAATACATCCTTAAAAAAAAAAACTGTTATAAAACAATTATTTATTTGTTTATTGAAACTTTTAGCAACCTTGTTAAAGACTGTTCACTATGTATACAACTTGCACGCATAGAAAGCATTCTTTAACGGCCAAATAAGCTAATTTAAAAAAATTACAACACTGGGAGAATCGCGTTTAACTTGTTTCTCTGTGCAGCGGACTTGTTCATCAGGGTGTGTGTTTAAAGTTAAAAAGTTGAGAGAGAGTTGTAACCACAATAAAGCAGCCTCCTCGACTGTAGTTGTCTTCTAGGCCTTTGGGAGGTAAGTAACGTAAAAAAAAATTACAATTTTATAATCTAGTTAAATATATCGTCTTAATCCAGCGAACATCAAGCAAATTATTTTTAATCAAGCACCTAATAATATATTTATGAATAGTGTATGTACATCATATCATTTATTTTAATATTGATCCTTAACATTGGTAGCAGGTCGTTGAAGTGAAAAGTTTAAAAGCGAAAAGATGTTAAAGCGAAATTTTTCATTATTTTTTTTTTTTAGTTATACAGCGCCAGCATTTTTTGGTCTTCGAGATATCTAACTTACGGACACGGAGCACAATCCAAACATTTTTATGTTTATACTTATGTCAAATAAGGATGCTTTACAAAAAATTACGATGATTGGAGCGTGGGAACAAAAAACACGCAAAATTTTAGCCCCCCCTGCCCCTAACGTGAGAGCAACAAGTTGATAAAAAAATTTTATACTATTTTCAACTAGACTTATATTTATCAAGAAATTTTAAGTTCTCCAGTGTTATTTTTAAGTAAGGACTTTGGTTGGTGTTGGAATTATTTTAACTATTGCAAAGATATTTAAACAATAGAATATTCCTAAAAAAAATAGAAGAAAAAGAGCATTGGCGTATAATTTTTTGATTACTTTTATTTATTAAGTGTTATTAAATTAACTTATAAATTATTACATTATACCTAATAATGTTTTTTAGGAAATTTTTGGGTTTAAACACTTTGTAAAAATTCTAGCTCAATAATCATATTTGTATTAGGACTTTTTTATTTTTCTTAAAACAATTTGAAGCAAACCGGCTGAAAAGAAGTTCAAAAAGGAATTATATAAAAGTCTTTAATTCTGTATAAACAAAAGAAACAATTTAAGAAATTTTTCTTGAAACACAAGCAAAAGTAGTTGTAATAAACAAAAACATATATATTTAATTCATTTTATTTTCAAATTTAAATATTGTCAAAGATGAGATTTTTACAAAACGTTTTGATTTAAGTTTTACTAATTCAATTTAAAGGTCTATTTCCGCTCACCCTTTTTTTTACTGGAACGGGAAAGGGAAGGTAAATATACTCTCACGAGCATGCGTAGTTTTGCCCCTGACAAATTAAAATTTATACAACACATGTTTACGTGATTATTTTTCTCTTTCCTTTTCCATAAAAAGAAAAGAATGAGTGGAAATTGACCATTCATAAACTATAAATAGCATATAATTTGCACTTTAGCGCGGCGATTTTCATTAAACTTTTTGCGCTACTTTAATTTTAGGTTTAATTAAGGGCTACTAAAAAATAAACGAGAGGAAACTTTTTACCTTGTTTGTTTATTAATTAAGCAATAATTTATGGTATTTATATAAATATGATATTCGATCTTTGAGATCGCTAACTTCCAGACATAGAGCAAACTCCAAACATTTATATGTTTATACTTATACATGGCCACACCTTTTTTTGGATTAAAAAATAAGAAGAATTATGGAGATTTTAAAGGATTTTTTACTAGATTTTATTGGAAAACTTGGAAAAACGAATTTAAAAATTAGGATTATTTAGGAGAATTAAAATTTTTTTTTTTCAGAAGATTAAATATTATTCAAAAATTTTAATAAAATATTTGAAGTTCAAGTTGAATGTTCAAAAGAAAACTTAAAGTTCAAAAAACAAGTTAAATTAGGATGTTTTAGGAGTATTTTTGAAATTCAAGCATATTTTAGGAGAATTAAGGTCTTTTTAGGAGGTTTTTTAATTACTAAGATTATTTAGGATTTATTAGGAGGCGTGGCCACCCTGTTATGTTAAATAAGGATGCTTTGTAAAAAATTGGTTGGAGATGGGAACATTCTCCCTTCTGCAAACGAAAGAGCAATAAGCTAATAATATATTTTTTTTTACTGTTCTCATCAAAATCTATACTCATCGATAAATTTTTAAATTTCATAAAATAATTTCGAAGCGTTCAAAAATTATTACCATATAAAGTTTGAAACCCCCTCAGTTTGAAGTGAGTTACAAATTTTATATGGTCATAATTTTTGAACGCTAAGAGATTAAACTATGAAGCTTAAAATTTATTGACAAATATAAGTCTATCCCTTTAACCCGTATTTAAATTTATCTGTAACTAAAATTAATTACTATTTTAAAACCTAACTGTTATAAAACCTTTCTTTTTTTTTTTTAAAAAAAAAAAAAAAAGCTATAAATAAATATGCAAGAGTGCCAAAATATAATTATAGTATCTATATTTATAAATACCTGTAAGGGTACGAAATCTTGAAACATTTTTTCTACATCATCATTATTTGGGAATCGTCCAAATTTTTGAAACCATCGTTTTCTTACAGCTTCAATTTCTGTAATCTTCTGTATATGAACTCTTTTATGCATTCCCATAGGCTGCCTTGCCTCTTCAATAGTTATTGGAACACCCTGATTTTGAAAAACTTCAACAAAAACAACAGCCGGAGCATAAACACCACAATCAATAACTGTGCCGGACCAATCGAGAACTACTCCTTTTATTTTCCCTTGATACCGATGAATGGTACGAAACTCAGTACGAGAATTAGTTAAAATATCACCTAAATAAATATTCGAAAATTTAAAAAAATATATATTTATTTTTCAAACAAGCAATTAAAAGATTAGCTTACCTTGCTGTCTATGCAATGGCCTTGCTAAAGTGTCACTTTTTGCTAAAACTACTTCGCTAGCTGCAATTGCATTGTTAATATTTCTTTTTGAAAGTAAATTGACATAATGACGAAAAACTCGTTGAGCAGCGAAAGAATGTGCCATCTTTTTAAATGTGAAAAAAAAAAATCAACTTTAAATAGAACTACTCTTTATATAAAGAAATTTAAAATTTACAGCTGTCTCGAGCTGTTTTCTATTCAACTTAAAATGTTAATGACGTCTTTAAATAGCGTCCTTTAATATCTCTAAATAAACGTTAAAACTCGTTGCGTGCGCAACTAAAGGAATTTTGATTTATTTTTGTAGCCATTTTTTGAAACTTTGAAGCGTTTGTAAACATCCTTTTTTTAGTTTACACACAAAGGTCATGAGTTTGTAAAGTCACATGCAGTTAGTTACATAACGTAGTTTTATGATATATTTGCGATATATATTTAAAATTAAAATAAGGAGAAATTTTGAAACGTTAAAAATAACTCCAGAACTAACGTAAAGAAAAACAAAAATCTTATTTTTTTAATTCGAATGCTTGAGTAAAAATATTACCTTATTTTTCAAATTGTACGAAATAAATTAATTTAGAATAACGAATTGATTTTTATCGTAAAATAAAAATGTTTTGATCAAAATTATCATTTTAATCACATTGTGTTTGACTGTAATTTCTGTTTTTAGTGGATTTCGTTAAATTTTATAGTTTTCTTGGGGAGAAATAATATATTTATTAAAAAAAAAGGGCAAGATGGCAAATGGGGCAAGATGGCTTTTCATATAACAACTCAACAAAAGTATTTTTAAAAATGGAAGAAAACGAAACTGTATTTATATCTTGTATTTTAAAATACCAATATTTTTAAATATTGTTAACGTAATTTTATACGCATAAGTTTATTTTTGCGCTTAAAAAAATATTAAAATATAATATATAATATTAAAATATTTGGTAGTTTTTAAATGTTACAAAATTGGAGGCAGAAAACGCATAATAAGTTATCTTGCCCCAGTCAAGTAACCAGGTGACAATTTTATGAGTTTTTAGTTTTAATTTTTACTACACGTTTTTGTACTCGCAAACTAAAATCTCATGCAGATAACGAATCATTATGATAAAACAAATATACTCACAAAGTATTATTGTTTCATGACTGAGGGTTTTGCAAAAGCTCAGGACTTTCAACCAGTAAGTTGATCAACTAGTCTATTTTTTAGTATTCAAAATAGATAACTTTCAAAAATGATGCGTGCTTGAAATTCTTTAATACTAATTAAATGTCTAAGAAAAAATTGCCATGATTGGAGCATGGGAACAAAATTAAACTTAAAATTAGGGTCCTCGTTTCCTAAATGTGGTTTCAATTAAAAAAATTGATTTTTTTTTATATTATCTTAAACTTAAAAAGTAAACGACTAAGGTCTAAAGTAAACAATTTAAAATTTGAAAATAAAATCTTTTTTAGTAAAAAAACGACTTTAAAATTAAAACAAAAAAAAAATCTTTTTTCGTTAAAAAGTTATTAATATTTATAGTTTGTGATTTTCCAATTAACCTCCAGCAATTAACTTTCAATGGTCGCAGCTTTTGAATAAAAAACTTTTTGGCAGCATATTTAAAATCTGTCGATAAATTTTGCGTTTTTAAAATAAAGAACGAAAAATGTCCTTGGAATTTGAATAGGATTGGCTTCCATAACTCACTTAATTAGTCCAATTTAAATTAATATATACTTAGTCAGAAAGATTTTTTAAAAATAAAATATGGCGAGAGTTCTATTTAAAAACAGGTTAAAGAAAGTTTTAAGATTAATTTTTGTTACAACTGGGTATCTTGTAACTATTTTCCCAGATCAAATTTATTATAAACTGATTTTGAGGCCTGTTCTTTCCTATAAGCTAGCCCGTTGTTTGGATTATTATTTGATATTATTTTTAAAAATCCTTCGGCATATTTTACTAACGTTCTTTAGGTGATATTCTTAATCTGAGTTAAAAGTAGACTACTTTTTAATGTCGATTTTTAATTTTAGTTGATTTTTAAAGTTATTACTAAACAACTTCTCCCAAACATTTAAACGTTTGTTGTATGAAAGTAAAATATTCAGCATTATCCAGTGAAAAAGACATCATCTTTAGTGACAAAGATCACATCTTTCAAAACATCTGTCTTCAACAAAACATCCAACTTTATTATACATTCGTTCACAGTTATATGAATTATGCAAATATTGCTTGGGCAAGTACTGAAAAAAGTAAGTTATAATCTCTCTAACGCCATCAGAAACATGCTATACGTGTAATTAATTTTGCTGATTGTAGTTCTCACTCCAAAAAACTTTTTTTTTGAAATAAAAAAACTTAATGTTTACAAACTCAACATTTTTAATATTTTATACTTCGTATATATATATGTAAAAATAGTATTTCTCCTGCCGTTTTTAATTATCTATTTACTATGAAACCTACCAATAAATACTCTCTAAGAAATACCAAACTTCTATATGAGCCCTTGCAACAGTAGTTGACATAAGTTTATGTTATAATCAAATCCATGAGCACCTAAAATAGTAAATCTTTATTGCTCAGAAGTTATTTGCAGGGCTAAACCAACTGCAATAACGTGTTTAGAGAACTTTCTAAGTGGCTTTACACCAAAGGAACACTTATCTACTTTTATGTGCTTGAATAAAATTTCTGAAGCGCCGTTTACATATTTCATATAATATAATCAGATAGTATTAAACAATTTTACAGCAATAAAATTAATTTAGCAGTTAATATTCAAAAGAATAAAATTTAGAGTTTTTTTATATCGCAATCAGTGGAGCAGAAATATTTACAACCAGAAGTGTTTGCAGAGAAGCGTTCTCTGGTCCAAAAGAACTGAGCGAAGTATTAGGGATCAACAAGAAACTTATTAAATTTTTCAAAAATATTTTATACAGAATCAGCTGTCAAACATTGAATACAGAATCTTTCAAACATTACTGTAAAGCAATATATTATCGATATTAGGTTTTGTATTACCGGTATAAAATGCCGTTAAGAGTTCACAAAATTCTTGCATAAAGATTACAAGTTTCCTTTCTGCTAAGATATAGCAGATGTAGGATATGAATACATAAGAAAGAATTACAATATGACTTTGTATTATATAATTGTAAATGTTCCAGACAAGCAATATTCAAAATCGTCTTTAACTGCGTCCAATCCTATCAATAGCTGAATGAACAAAATTGAGCATAAGCTTCTAAAAAAATGAATTTAAGAAATGAAATATTGGAAATTGATAAAGCAATCACAACTACAATCATTAGATTTAAAATTATTGGAACAAACAAAATCTACCAGCTTAGAAGATGAAATAAAGAACAACTTACAAGGTATTAAAAAAAAATACTTAAGGGCTAAAAACGTTGATCTGTGAAATAAATGTAATAATATAAAGTTTGTTTTCATATTACTTGCAAATTATTACTTTAGCGCTTTTTTTTACGTATTTTGAAAAACAGAGTGTTTGTATAATTTGCAGAAAAAAGTGTTTTTTATTGAGCTTCTAAAGTAATTTTCGAAAATGAATTCTTTTTAAAATCAAAACAAATTTAAAACCCTTAAAAAAACACTAGAACACCTGTTGGTATTTATGTTCAGCTTCACAGTTTTCTGGTTAGATATGTGGAGGTAAAAGTTTTACATTACAAATAATTGGTTCTAACGAAAAAATAATTGGTTCTAACGAAATAATATAATCAATTTTGATTAGCTAATTTTGGTTACAAATAACTCCAACGAAATTATGATTCAAGGCCAGCAATACGGTTTTCAAAATGGAGGGGGCACAATTGTCAATTCCTCTTTATCGTGAAATTTCTATTTAAAAAAAAGGGAAAAATAAAAGTTCTTCAGAAAAAAAGTGAGGAAGGTACGATCCCCTATCCCCTCCTCCCCGGTGTCGCCACCCTGTGATTGATAATAAAAAATACAAATCAACAACAATATATACGTTTTTAAATAATGTTTACGTCTAATATTTGTCCAAAAACGTAGAGCCCTTCAGTTATTTTAACAAAAACGTAGAGGCCTTCAGTTGTTTTAACTAAAAAAATTAATAAAGGTTTTGTTTAAATGATTTAAAATTTAAAATATTTTTTATAAATATTCTTCACAATTATTTTTGGCCACTCATTTGTATAAAAATACGATGTAGTGGCTTGTAACGTAAGATCTAAAATCTCTCACATTTTATTTAATGAAATTGTTTTCTACAATTCTAGATCTTAAGTAGTATTGTTTTAAAGTTTAGGTTTTCGGCTCCATTGAAATGAATGAGTTGAGATTTTTTTACAGTTTTGTTTCAAATTTGGAAAAGTTTTTTGGTTACAGATCTTTCAAAGAAAAGAAAAAATATTCATCATTATTTCGATGACGTTTTTGTGATATTAAAAGATTTTTGTTCATTGATTTGGAAAAAAAATTCTTAAAGTAGTGCGAACAACTTCCTTGCGGTTAATTAGTTTTGTTGTTCGAGAAATTTTCTTGCTCATTCAATTCGAATAATAAAAAATAAAAAGAAATATTTTGATTATTTAATTGTTTATAAACTCTCGTTAAGAATTTTTTTAACATAAAAAAACTAATTATCGTGCTTATTAGAACCGAATTAACTTCTAATTGCTCTTTTTATTAAGGGAACTTGAATTTATAATAAGATGTTGCCCTTAATAATTTGTTACCCTATGATAAAGTGTCTTGTAAAGATGCATGCTTCAGGGGCTGAATATCAATGCGTCAACCTTTAATAAAAAGCCGATTGATTAAAAAGTCTTGGGATACTGAAAACAAAAACAAATATCTAAATATATAAAAAAGACTTAATAATAGTATTAAAAGATAAAATTAAAACTCATTTTATTTCAATTTCATTTTCATCTCAGAAAATTAAGGTATTCCAGATCGCAATAGAACAAGTTAGACAAATATTGACGCAAGACACACGCTTTAGAAAATGATTTATTTTTAGCTGTGACAAATTAATTAGTATGTGTTGACCTATGATAGCACTTCAATAAGTTGGTAGAAACCTAATATTCACCTATTATTACTGATAGATAATTAAATTCTTTTAGGTTGTAAAAGTTTTTACTAAGATAATAGGGTAACGAGTTTTTTTAGTCAGTTTTATTACATTAGGCCGGGTGAATAAAAACGAACAT